TGTCAAGAGCAGAAGATGGAGCAGACCTACCTAATACATAGAGACAAACATGGGGAGTCAGCAAAAATGAGAAGATAAAGAAACATGATGCAAATGAAAGAACAGAACAAAACTTTAGAGCTAAGAACTAAACAAAATGGAGACAAGCACTCTTATCAGATTCAGGATTCAAAACACTGGTTATAAGGATGCTCAATGGACTTAGGGGAAGAATAGATGAACTCGGTAAGAACTTCAACAGACAGATAGAAAACATAAAATAGGAAATAGAAACACAATAAAGTACCAGTCACGCACTCACTGGTGTGGCTCTGTGGGTTGGGCATTGGTCTGCAAACTAAAAGGTCACTGGTTTGATTCCCAGCCAGGGCACATGTTTGGGTTGCACACAGGTGTTCTTCTCCCTCTCTTTCTCTCTCCCTTCCCTCTCTCTAAAATTAAGTAAAATCTTAAAAAAAAAAAGTCAGAAATAAAGAATACAATCAGTGAAATGAATACATTAGAGGGAATCAATATCAGATTAGATGAAGCAGAGGACTGAATCAGCGACCTGGGGGACACAGTAGTAGAAAACACCCAACTGGAACAGCAAAAGGAAAAAACAAAAGTCTTAAAAAGTGAGGATAGTTTAAGAGAACCCTGGGACAACGTGAAGCAAACTAACATTCACATCCTAGGGGTGCAAGAAGATGTGTGAGAGAGAGAGAGAGAGAGAGAGAGAGAGAGCAAGGAACTAAAAACCCATCTGAAGAAATTATGACTGAAAACTTCCCAAAGGAAAGAGACATAAATCCTTTCATCTCAAGAAGTGCTGAAGAGCCCCAAACAAGGTAAGTGAACTAAGTCACACAGAGAAAGGCAAGTATCATATGATTTTGCTTATATGTGGAACCTAAAAAAAAGAAAAAAAATTAACAAACAAAAGAGAAACAACCTCATAAATACAGAGAACAAACTGATGGTTGCCAGATGAGGGGGGGTTTGGGGGGGAGTGTGAAAAAGGTGAAAAGGGTTAAGAAGTACGAATTCCCAGTTATAAAAATATTCATGGTGCCCTGGCTGTCGTGGCTCAGTGGGTTGAGTGCCAGCCTGCAAATCGAAAGACTGCCGGTTTGATTCCCACTCAGGGCACATGCGGGGGTGGCCAGCCTGGTCCCAAGATGGGGGTGTACGAGAGGCAACCAAATGATATATCTCTTGCACATCGCAGTTTCTCTTCCTCACTTTCTCCCTCCCTTCCCCTCTCTCTAAAAGTAAATAAATAAAATCTTTAAAAAATAATAGTCATGGTGATGTAAAGTAAAGCATAGAGAATATAGTCAATAATATTGTAGTAACTATGTATGGTGTCAGATGGTTACTAGACTTACTGGGATGATCACTTTATGAGGTATATAAATGTCTAATCACTGTGTTGTACATTTGAAACTAACATAATATTGCACGTCAATGGTAATTGAAAAATAAAATTTAAAAAAGATAACCCCCCAAAAGAACTGACAATGTTTTATTTCTTTACCTGGATAAGTACATGGGTGCTCATTTTATTATTATTCTTTAATGTATACCTATTTGTTATACAGATTGTTATAATACATGTAAAGAGTATTATAATACTGTGTACATGTTCCATTACACAACAAAAAAATTAGGAATACGTTCTGGTATGGAAAGACTTTAAAGATATGTCACTGAGTGATAAAAACATAAACAAACAATATGAAAAGACAAACCACAGGCGGGAAAAAAACCTTTGCAAAACAGATACCGGATAAAGAACTGAAATCCAAATTATATAAAATTCAACAATAAAAAAACAACAAACCTGATTTTAAAATGGGCCAAAGCCCTGACTGGTGTGGTTCAGTGGGTTGGGCATCATCCCCCGCAAAGCGAAAGGTCATGGGTTCAATTCCCGGTCAGAGCACATGCTTGGGTTGTGGGACAGGTCCCCAGCTGGGGGTGTGGAGAGGCAACCAATCAATGTTCATCTCGCACATAGATGTTCCTCTCCCTCTCCTTCTCCTTCCCTTACCCTCTCTGAAAATAAATAAATAAAATCTTAAAAAAGAGGGACCTTGTTCTCCGCCTTTCCTTGTTGTCTCTGCTGACGGTGCCCTGCTCTCGTCAGCCTCCGGCGCGCTCTCTACTGAGCACCATGCTGTCAATTAAGTTGCCGAGTTCTGACGGAGAGATATTTGAAGTTGATGTTGAAATTGCCAAACAATCTGTGACTATCAAGACCATGTTAGAAGATTTGGGAATGGATGATGAAGGTGATGATGACCCAGTTCCTCTACCAAATGTTAATGCAGCAATATTTAAAAAGGTCATTCAGTGGTGCACCCACCACAAGGATGACCCTCCTCCTCCAGAGGATGAGGAGAACAAAGAAAAACAAACTGATGATATCCCTGTATGGGACCAAGAATTCCTGAAAGCTGACCAAGGAACACTTTTTGAACTTATTCTGGCTGCAAACTATTGAGATATCAAAGGTTTGTTTGATGTTACATGCAAGACTGTTGCCAATATGATCAAGGGGAGAACTCCTGAAGAGATTCGCAAGACCTTCAACATCAAAAACGACTTTACTGAAGAAGAGGAAGCCCAGGTACGCAAAGAGAACCGGTGGTGCGAAGAGAGGTGAAATGTTGTGCCTGACACTGTAACACTGTAAGGATTGTTCCAAATACTAGTTGCACTGCTCTGTTTATAATTGTTAATATTAGACAAACAGTAGACAAATGCAGCAGCACATCAACTGTATGAGCAGGGTATTGTCCTCATTACATGTGTAGTTTGGGTACAGACTCCAAACCTATGGCTGAGTTTCTTCCAGTATGATCAAAAAGTTTCTTTGCTCTTTGCTCTGAATAAAACTGAATTGTGGGTCCTCTATGCTAAGTGGCATTTTGCGCTTTCCCTCTTTTTGTAAAGCAATTTCTGCCTAGTTTGTTGTCCAGTTAACTCTAGTTTAGTGACTTTTTAAAAGTTGGCATTGTACATAAAACAACTTGCAAAAAAAAAAAGGCCAAAGACCTTAAAAGACACCTCACCCAAGAAGATATACAGATGGAAAACAAACACTTGCACATGGTGTTTATATGAAGCTTTACTCACAATTGCCAAAACTTTGAAGCAACCAAGATGCCCTTCAATAGGTTATGGATAAATAAATTATGGTACATTCACATAACATGTATGACCGTATGACTCAGTGCTAAAAAGAAATGAGCTATTAAGCCATGCAAAGACATGGAGGAATCTTTAATGCCTATTTCAAAGTGAAAGAAACCAATCTGAAAGACTACATACTGTATGATTTGAATTACACGACATTCTGGGGAAGTGTAACAACGGAGACGGTAAAAGAGCAGTGGGAAGGTCTTGCGACTGCAGGCTGTGTGGGGCTGCGCGAGCCCAGGGCACCGGCCAGGAGGTTTGTTTAGGTGGAAACGGATACTATGCAGATCCCCTTGGGACAACTTCAGAGGAAGCTCAATGACCCCATTGCCGAGGCACTGAAAAAGAAGTTTGCCACAAGGTACGGGGCCCATGGGGTCAGAGACAAACCTGGCCTCACAGCACTACCCACCCACATGCGGCAGGGCTGGCCTTGGGCAAGTAGCTTACCTCAGAACCCTGCTTCCTCACCTTTCCAAGGTAATCCATAGGGATGTTGGAAGAAATCAAAAGAGAAACTTAGTTTGAAAAAGGCCCTTGTAACCTCAAAGTGTTAGACTGTGCACTTCCTAATTACTTTGCAATCTTGGGTAAGTATTTATCCACTCGGGGCTTCAGCTTCCATTTGTAAAATAGAAATAATACCGATGCCCCTTAAAAAGAGCAGGGGTTGCGAGGGCCTCAGGAGCAGGGAGGGATGAATTCATAGCCAGAGCACAGAGGATTTTACGGCAGTGAAGTTATTCTGTATGATATAATAATGGTGGATACATGTCATTATGTATTTGTCAAAACCCACAGAATGTACAGCATCAAGAGTGAATCCTAATGTAATCTATGGATTTTAGGTAAAATGTCAATATTGGCTTATAAATTGTAACAGGTATACCACATTAATGTAAGATGTTAATAATAGGAGAAACTGTGTGTGCAGAGGAAGTATATGGGAATCTGTACTTTACACTGATCTTCTGTACCCAAAACTGCTCAATAAAAATGAAGTCTATTAATTAGCCCTGGCTGGTGTGGCTCAGTGGACTGAACACCAGCCTGTGAATTGAAAGGTTGCTGGTTTGATTCCCAGGTAAGGCTCATGCCTGAGTGGCAGGCCAGGTCCCCAGTTGGGGGCGTGTAAGAGGCAGCCAATGGATGTATCTCACATGCACCAATGTTTCTCTCTCTTTCTCCCTCCCTTCCCCCATCTCTAAAATAAGTAAATAAAATCTTTTAAAAAATGAAGTCTATTAATTAAAAACAAAACACATATAAACAGAACAGTATGATTAATATGCTATCTTATAATAACCTATATTTGTACTTTGTAAATATGTACAAAGAAACTCTGGAAATCTACTCAAGAAGGTAGTAACAGTGATACTTGTGGAGGTTAGAGAAGAATTTAAATACACAGCCAAATGTTTACCGAGTTCTCTGCATCATGTAATGATTAGAAATACAAAATACACATAATAAAATTCCTCATTTGCAATGAAGAATGTTAGATGAAACAACCACAGATAAACTGGTAACGCTTTTAATTTGGGTTGTTTCTGCAGATGCTGTCCAAAACACCAACTAAATGCAGGTCCATAAAATGTATTCAGACTTAAAGTTTAACAACCAAGATAATGGTATTCATAACCAATGTAAGGCACTTAATTAAGCTGGTTTGCTTTTCAGCTGCTGGTATTGATCAGTAATATTTACTGTGTTTTCCTTGAATTTCACTCATCTATACTTTTGTTTCATATTCTGGATCCTTATAAACTTCCTCAAATGTACTGAAAAAACAAAATTGGGAATAAACAACTCACCTGGGATTTGTTCATTTTCTGCCGCTTCTGGGTGAAGGCACAGGTATGAAAGCAGACCTGAAATAAAGCAGAAAGGAAGGTATTGTTATTAAAGATCTGACCTGCCTCAGAACTAGAAATCCCTCCACGTCACCTGGGAAAAAAACCACCTCTTGGGATAGTTACTTTGCCTCTTCAAAAGGAACAGAAAGGATAATACTGGCAGCACTCACCTTCAATCAAATATTATGAGATGCCTGAAAAGGCATGAGTAAGACCACCCACTCTCATGAGAAAAAGCAATCAACTGAAGCCTCAACTAATGAAAATATCAAAGAGGGAATTGAAAACAACCATAATTAATATATTAAAGGCTTTAAAGGGAAGGATGGACAATGTGAGTAAATAGGGAATTTCAGAAGAGATGGACATTGCAAGAAAAAAACAGATGGAAATGCTAAGAAAGAAAAGCACAATAACCAAGTTGAAAGAACACCTTCAACAGGTTCATTATTAAACTCAACAGAGCTGAGGAAATTTTCAGGAAATCTGAAGATAGATCAAAAGAAATTACCTGAACTGAAATAGAAAGTAGAAGGAAAACAAACAAACAAACAAAAGGACAGAGTATCCAAGAGCTGTGGCACAATATCAAATGACCTCACAAGTACAGCCATTGGAATCCCAAAAGGAGCACCTGGCCAAGTAGCTCAATTGGTTGGAGTGTTGTTCAGATATGCCAATGTTGTGGGTTCAATCCCTCGTCTGGGTACATACAAGAAGCAACCAATGAATGGATGAGATAAGTATCTTTCTTTCACCACAGGATCAATTTTTTTAAAAAAGAAGAAAAAATGGGACACAACTATTTGAAGACATAATGGCCAAGAATTTTCCAAAAATAATGAATAATATCAAAGCACAGATCCAAGAAGTTCAGACAATTTATCCAAACAGGCTTAACCCCCAAAAAGCAAAACAAAACAAAAATGCACATGGATACATCACAGTCAAATCACTGAAAACCAAAGTCAAAGGGAAAGTCTTGAAAGCAGTCAGAGGAAAAACAGACATGTTATATACAGAGAAAGAAATAACCACAGCCAACTTTTCATCAGAAAATATGCGTATACAAGTCAGAAGGCAATGTACTGACCTTCTTTAAAGCGCTTAAAAAAAAAAAGAAAGCAACCCCCCCCTCCAGAATTCTATACCCAGCAAATATGTCTTTCAAAATAAAAAGTAAAAACCTTTCAAACAAAACCAGAATTCATTACCACAGACCTGTACTACAAGAAATATTCAGAGGGACTTCTGGTCAAGATGGCAGTATTGGTAAACATGGCTCACCTCTTTACACAACCACATCAAAATCACAACTAAAATACAGAACAAGTGTCATTCGGGACCATCAGAAATCAAGTTGAATGGAAGTCTGACAACTACAGAATTTAAGAAACCACATCCATCCAGACAGGCAGGAGGGGTGGAGATGCAGAATGGGCTGGTCCCATATCCACATGTGGTAGATAAAAATTCAGAAGAGAGATTATAGGAGCAAGGAGTACCAGCCCCACACCAAGCTCCCCAGCCCATGGTTCCAGTGCCAGGAAGATAAGTCTCCATAACTTCTGGCTGCAAAAAAACAGTGTGAATTAACTCAGTAGAAGAAACGTCTGGGGTCCCAAGCAGTTCCCCTTAAAGAATCCACACATGAACTTACTCAGACTCACTTTCTCTGAGCTCCAACACCAGGGTAGCAGTTTGAAAGACACCAGTGGTAGAGAGGGAGGAATGGAAGTGCTGGCCTCAGGGCAGGAGCTGGGGCACAGCTTTCTCCCAGACAGATAGGCAGAGGCCTGTCCCTTCTCTGAGCCCTCCCCACAAAGTGCCACAGAACCAGCAGGCGGGTGCCAAATCTGAGATTCCATCAACCTGGCTAAAACTGTTTGCCCTGCCCTGGAGATCCCCCAAGACTCTATCCCACCCGACTTATAGACCCATCCAAACTGTTAACCATGACTTTTCCACATGGTCTTGGTTCATCCTTCACAACTTCCTAAATTCTCTCAAACAAGCAAAAGCTGGCTTCAGTGAGCCCCCAACCCCTGTACCTCTTGCTATGTGGCCTGAGACCCAGCACTAGCAGCAGCCAGCCTAGATTCACAGATTGACTTCACCTGGGAAATCCAAGCCCAGCACAAGTAGCACTCATCTCAGATTGCTTTACAGCTCAGGAAGGACGGCCCTGGGAAAAACACAAATGGGGGCTGACCTTGGCCTGCAACACCTGCAATACACCAGAGCCTGCGCACCCAGCGGACAGCTACAGACCACACTGGAGCACCACCACCCTGTCCCTGCACAGCTGATCCTCCACAGAGGGCAGGGGTTGGTGATTTGTGGTCACAAAGAGTCCTTGCAGCTGACTGTCCTGGTGAGATCCCTCCCAATGACCTGCCAATAGCAATCAGGGCTCAACGACAAGAGCAGGGTGTACTCAGCTCACACGGAGGATGCAGCGTGGGTGATAGGGGACGCTGTGCCACTGAACCCTACAGGACACCTACTACATTAGGTGCCAAGCTACCATGACAGGGATTCATAGTAGCTCGACCTAATACATAGGAACGAACACAGGGAGGCTGCCAAAATGAGGAGACAAAGAAACTTGGCCCAAATGAAAGAATAGATCAAAACTCCAGAAAAAGAACTAAACAAAATGGAGATAAGCATTCTAACAGAAGCAGAGTTCAAGACACTGGTTATAAGGATGCTCAAGGTAATAAGGACCTCAAAAGCATAAAAAGATCCAGTCAAAAACAAGGGATACACTATTTGAAAAAAAGAACAATTTATAGGGAACTACAGTAGAGTGGATGAAGTCTAGAATCAAATCAATGATTTGGAACATAAGAAAGCACAAAACAACCAATCAGAACAACAAGAAAAAAAAAGAATCCAAAAAAAGCAAGGATAGTGTAAGCAGCCTGTGGGACAACTTCAAGCATTCCAACATTCACATCATAGGAATGCCAGAAGGAGACAAGAAAGGGCACGAAATTGGAAATCTATTTGAAACAATAATGAAAGAAAACTTCCCTAATTTGGTGAAGGAAATAGACGTGCAAGTACAGGAAGCAAAGAAGAGTCCCAAACAAGTTGGACACAAAGATGACCACTCCAGGACACATCATAATTAAAATGCCAAAGGCAAAGGAACTGGAGAGCATCATGCTAAGCGAAATAAGCCAGGGGGCGAAAGACAAATACCATATGATCTCACCTATAAGCGGAACCTAACCAACAATGCAAAGAAGCAAGGAAAATATGACCAGCAACACTGAAAGGAAAAGAAATCAACAGAGACAAGAGGGAAGGGGGGGGCAGGGAAAGGGAAGGGAAGGGGAAAGTCAAGGAACATATAGCAAGGACGCATGGACAAAACCAAAGGGGAAGAGCTGAGGGAGGGAAGGTGGGAGGGGGCAAGGGAAAGAGGTGGGGGGAAGGCAGAGACAAATGTATTTAAAAAGTAAATAAATTAATTTTAAAAAAAGGCAAAAAAATAAATAAATAAAATAAATAAATAAAATGCCAAAGGCTAAAGATAAAGAAAAAAAATCTTAAAAGCAGCAAGAAAAGTAGTTAGTTACCTACAGAGGAGTTTCCATAAGACAGTCATCTTATTTCTCAAAAGAATCTGTGCAGGCTAGAAGGGATTAGCAAGACATATTCAAAGTCATGAAAGACAGGGACTTACAGCCAGGACTGCTCTACCCAGCAGATATCATTTAGAATTGAAAGGCAGATAAAAAGTTTCCCAGACAAGAATAAACTAAAGGAGCTCATCATCACCAAACCATTGTTATATGAAATGTTAAAGGGACTCATTTAAGAAAAAGAAGAAAATCAAAACTATTAACAATAAAATGGCAATAAATACATATCTATCAACAATTGAATCTAAAAAACAAACTAAGCAAGCAAGAAAAACAGAGACAGAATCATGGATATGGAGAGTATTTTGATGGCTGCCAGATGGGAGGGGGGTGTGGAGGAATGGGAAAGGTGAGGGGATTAAGAAGTATAAATAGGTAGTTACAGGATAGCCATAGAATGTAAAGTACAGCATAGGAAATGGAGCAGCCAAAGAACTTACATGCAGGACCCATAGACATGAACAATGGTGGGGGGACTGCCTGAGGAGGTGGGGGGTAATGGGTGGAGGGGGGCAATGGGGGTAAAAGGGCAAGTGTAACAGCATAATCAATAAAGTGTAATTTAAAAGAAAATAAATACTTAAATAAGTCGTTCAGATAGAAGGAATGTTATACCAGGCAGAGATCTGGATCTACACAAACGAATAAAGACCTCTTGTGTACTTAAAAATAAAGATAAATAATAGCACGAAGAATACGGTAATGAAATTGGAAGTATACTGTTTAAGGATCTTACATTACACAGCATAATAGTATTTAAAGGTCTATTGTGATTAACTCAAGTGTTTAGTATAAACTCTAGAGTAACCACAGAAATTTTTTTAAAGAGGTATAAATGATAAGCCAACAGTGAGAAAAAAGTGGAATCATTAACAGTACTTACAAAATCCAAAAGTAGTCAGAAAAAGAGGAAAACAGGGAAAAAGACCAGACAGAACAAGTAGAAAAAAACTAGCAAGATGGTAGATTTTAATCAATAACTGGTGTAAACATATCAATTAAATCACAGAGGTTGTCAACTTGGATTTTAAAAAAGCAATACCAAACTATGTGCTGTATATAAGCAATCTGTTTTAAATATAAAAACATAGCTAGGTCAAAAATAAAGGGCTGAAAGATGTACCTTGAAAACACTAATCAAAAGAAAGCAAGAGTGATTATATAACTACCAGATGAGTAAATTTCTGAAGAAATAATACCAGGGACAGTTCATAAAAGTAAATGTGTCAAATCACCAAGAAGACATAACAATCCTAAATATACAGGCAGGTACCTAACAAAATAACTTCAAAACACAAGAAGCAATGGTAGAAAAAGGGAAAAGAGATAAATCCGTAATTATAGTCGGAGACTTTAATACTCTTTTCTCAGTGACGGAACAGATAGAAAACCACTAAGGATACAAAAGAATTGAAGCACAGTATCAACTACCCTAACCCATTTACTATTTCCAGAAGAATTCTCCACCAACAGCGCAACAGTCATTAAAGTACATGTGAAACATTCACCAAAATAAATCACCTTCTTGACCATAAAACAAATGCTAGCAAGTTTTAAAGAACTGAAATTTAAAAGCATATTCTTTGAAAAGCAGAATTAAAGTAGAAATCAGTAACAGAAAGAGATCTGGAAAATCCCCAAGTATTTGGAAATTAAACAACAGAATTCTAAATATCCAATGGAAGTAAACTGAACAGAAAGCAAGCATAAGGAAAGAAATAATAAAGGTAAGACCAAAAATCAATGACACTGAGAAGAAAAAAACAGTAGAGATATTCAATGAAACCAAAAGCTGGTTATTTGAAAAGATTAATAATATCAACAAACCTCTAGCCAAACTGGCCAAGGAAAAAAGTGAGAACACAAATAACAAATATCAAGAATGATCAAGGAGATGTTACTGCAGACACTACAGACATTTAAAAAAAGTTATTTTGAAAAATAAACATAGACAACTATTAGCTACACTAAGGGGGAAAAACATCTCAAATATATAAAATCAAAAAGTGGGAACTATCAAATATAAAAGAAGATAAAACGATGGAAAAATTCCATCTTCAATAGCAGTAAACTACATAAGAATAAAGTTAAGGAAAATGCTCTGGCTGGTGTGGCTCAGTGGACTGAGCGCCGGCCTGAGAACCAAAAGGCCACTGGTTTGATTCCGAGTCAGGGTACTGGCCTGGGTTGCAGGCCAGGTCCCCAGCGGGGGCCATGTCAGAGTCAACCAACTGATGTATCTCTCACACATCAATGTTTCTCTCCCCTTTTCTCCCTCCCTTCCCCTCTAAAAATAAATAAATAAAATGTTTTTAAAAATTTTAAAAAGTTAACGAAAATGCAATTCTTTTATGAAGATTATAAACCACTCCTGGCGGGGGGCAAAACAAAAGAGGACAAGAACAAATGGGAAGGCCTATAGTAAGACCCAACATCATATGGGTTTACATTCCTCCTAATTTAATGCAACCATTAACAGGATCACAATAAGAATATCAGCAATTATTTTTTTTTAAAAATATGATTCTAAAATACCACTGGGAATCATCAGAAAACTTGTATTGAGTTGGCCAAAAAATCCATTTAGTTTTTCCCATAAAATAGAAGACATTTTTTTCACCAATAACTTTATCGATCTGGATATTTTGAGTATGTTGGCTATCTCCCACTATTGGCTTCTAGTGGGCAGGGGCCAGGGGTGCTGCTAAACATCTTCCAATGAATAGACAGCCCCACAGCAAAGAATTATTTGGCCAAAATGTCAATCGTACCAAGAAACTTTGCAAACCACTTTTGACACTTTGGATCAGTCACAGCACCTTCTCCATGCACTGCTCAAATTTTTTGCATTTCAGTTGAGTTTCTACCTGTCTTGAAATAATAAAGCATAATACACCGAAAATGTTGTGTATCTTCTTCCATCTTCAATATTAAAATGGCTGCACAAAAATTCACCAATTTTTTTATAAACGCAACTGATATGACAGTTATCACAAGACACTCTAACAAAATTGTTTCAAATGAAGTTAAAGGCAACTAAGCATTACTAGGGCCATCTTAAGGAAAAAACTAAAGGAACCCTCTGGTCACCCCAATATATTCTCAAAGTAGTGAAGGCTTTGGGTGCCATAAAAGAGAACAGCAGTAAATTCAACTGGAGAAATTCAAAACGCCTGCATGGCAAAAACTACCAGTGAGAAACGTCAAAAGGCAAACGGGAAAAGGCTTGCCATTCATAAAACATAAAGTACCAGCTGCCTGCGTGATCTGCGCAAATCACCTTTCTGAGCGTTGATTTTTCCTTCTGCTGAAACTGAGATACTAGCGAAGTCCCCTGGGTAGGTGTGAGGATTAGGTGAACACTTAACAGAAAAGGCTCTTGCAAAGAGGTCGGAACTCTTATTTCATTCCGAACGTCGTGTGCACCAGAAAACTTGCTGGGCCTTTCAATTCTCCCTCCACCCAGCGAGGCCCAGGGATGCAGCACGCGGCATCCGAGTGCAGCCAGGTGTGTCCGGCCCCGCCCCTGGCCTCGCCCGGCCTAGCCACGCGCGCTCACGGACGGACTTCCGGGCTTCCTCCAGCCCTGCAGGACCCTCGCCGCCGATCGGAGGCACTTCTCTGGACAAAGGGAGGAAGCCGAGACTCGCAGTCGCCCTCCCCCTCCGCCGTCCCCGCCCTCGCACGTCCGGGCTGGTGGGCCCCGCCAACCCCACAAGGAGGAGAGGGCTGGGCGGCCCCCTGACATAGCCCCGAGGGTCACCGCCTCCAACGAGTCGCCGAAGTTTGGGTTCCCACCCTGCGCGGGCACGAGCCCATCCTTCATCTCCTTCCCCTCGGCCCCCCAGGGCCCCGCGGAACTGCCTGGCAGCCCCCCTCATACCTAGAGGGGCACTCTCTACTCGTGGCCCAGTGTCAGGAAGGGTCACAGCGCTGGGCAGCGAAGACGCACGGAAACCGGAGCCCTATGACCCACTCGCGGCTAGAGGTGGGGGAAGGGCGGCCACCGGCGCGCTAGCAGCCGTGCACATGCGCAGATGTAGGGACTGCTCGTTGTCCCAGGGTCCTTGGAGGAGTGGTCCATCAGCTCTTCGAGACTACATTTCCCATAAGCCTGCGGGGCCATGCTGTAGGGACTCTCAGGAAAGTCCTCGCCTTGTTTAGCGGTTCAGAGGAGCGCTGACCAAGATACTGGCTTAGGCTGTTCATTTCCCCCAGATCAGCTTATAAAATTTCCAATCACTATCTCCTCCCAATACAAAAAACTGTCTTTTAAAGATTACACGGGTAATCTATGATATCTGTATTTGAAATAGACTACATATAAGACAGCAAATACCCATAATCTCACTTTTCAAAGGCAACTGTGTTAAATTCACACCCTTAAAATAAAATTGGCCATAAACATATTATGTGCCGCAACCAGCTTTGTTTTTTCTTTTTTAGAGCAGTTTTAGGTTCACAGTCAAATTTGCAGAGAAGGTACAGAGAGTTCACGTATACCACCTGACCCCACATATGCATAGCATCCTCCACTATGAACATCCCCTATTAAAGTGGAACATTTGTTACAATTGAATGTAAACTGACACATCACCCAAAGTCTGTAGTCTACATTAGAGTTCACTCTTGGCATTGTACATTCTATGGGTTTTGACAAATATATAATGACATGTATCCACCACTATGATATAGTACAGAATAATTTCACTACCCTAAAGTCCCCCTGTGCATCTATTCATTCCTCCCTCCCTCTCCCTGAGCCCCTGGCAACCACTGATCTGTTTATTTTCTTCACAGTTTTTGCCTTTTCTAGAATATAAAATAGTTGGAATCATACAGTATGTAGTCTTTTCAGATTGGTTTCTTTCACTTAGTAATACACATTTAAAACTCTTCCATGTCTTTTTCAGGGCTTGGTAGCTCATTTCTTTTTAGCACTGAAAAATATCCCACTCTGGCTGGTGTGTCTCAGTGGACTACTGAGTGCTGGCCTGCAAACCAAAAGGTCACTGGCTCAATTCCCGGTCAGGGCACCCGCCTGGGTAGTGGGCCAGGTCCCCAGATGGAGGCATGTGAGAGGCAGCCAAGCAATGTATTTCTCTCTCTCTCTCTCTCTCTCTCTCTCTCTCACACACACACACACACACACACACACACACAATCCCATTGTCTGGATGTACCACAGTTTATCCATTCACCTGTCAGACATCTTGGTTACTTTCAAGTTTTGACAATTATGAATAAAGCTGCTATAAGCATCCATGTGCAGGGTTTTGTGTGTATCATTTGGGTAAATACCAAGCATCACAACTGTTAAATCATACCGTAAGAATATGTTTATTTTGTTCAAAAAAAAAACCCCAAACAAACCTGCCAAACTGTCTTCCAAAGTGTGTATACCATTTTGCCTTCCCACCAGCAAAGAATGAGTGTTCCCATTGCTCCACATCCTTGTCAGCATTTGGTGGTGTCAGTGTTGTGGGTTTTGCCCATTCTAATAGGTGTGTAGTGGTAGCAACTAGCTTTCAATTAAAACAATATACAGTCTCCAAAATGTACTTATGCTCTTCTCCACGGTGCTCCAGGCCGGGGAGACTGGCCTCACCACCCCGGGGGAACGCATACAAGGAATTGGCATAAGACAGCTGCACAAAATGGAGCTGGAGTAGCCCTTCTTATGCACAGAGATACTCCTGAGAATAACTCAAGAGTATCCATGCGACTCCACACCAGAAAACAGGATAGAGGCAATTGCAAAAACTATCCAGAGGGCATAAAGCAGAAGCTGTGCTTCTAGTCCTGGGTTTATCCCAAAGACAGGGTGGATGGCTGCCCATCTCTGCTATGAACAAGGCTGCAAAAGTTTTAATGAGTACCTCCAATAAGAGTATATAAAGTAACAACTTTTTGTACGATGTACAATCAATCCAAAGCCACTTGAAAAGTATCACCTTGGCTTCTGTACTACTACACCTGCATGCTTCAAAATTCTGACAGTATCCTGGAGGCCACTCAGAAAAATCGTTGAGTAGCCCTGGCTGTGTGGTTCAGTGGATTGAGTGCCAGCCTGTGAATCAAAGGGTCATTGGTTTGATCCCCAATCAGAACACATGCCTGGGTTGCAGGCCAGGTTCCCAGTAGGGGGCATGTGAGAGGCAGCCACACACTGATGATTCTCTCCTCTTTCCTTCCCTTCTGTCTAAAAATAAATAATCTTTTAAAATATTTAAAACAAATAATAAAAATTAAAAAGAAAAATCTTCAAATAAAGGTTGGGGAGACTATAACTGACAAACTTTTCACTCATAGAGGTAGAATATTTAGGGTCCAGTGTAGATGTACCAATGGTTCAAATAAATGACAACTAATATGAGGATGTGACACCTGAGGGTATTGAAGAAATTATTGACGAGCTCAAGGCTTGCAAAACTACAAAACCTGAGCCAAGAAGTAGACACTTCTCTTGTGAGCCGGCTGAGGGTCTCACCTCTGACTGAACCACACAAAGGATGTGGTGTTGGGGTGCAAGCAGGCCTTTAGTTTACATTCAACCGTAAATATGTCACTGGAGAAATAAAATATGAATCTCTTATCTAAAAATGGGGTACTTGTACATCAATGCTCTTAGTATTATTCACAATAGCCAAAGGGCAGATGGGAACAATTCAAGTGCCCATTAACAGAAGAATGGATAAATAAAATATGATACATATAATTCAGTCAAAAAAATAATGAAGTTCTGATACATGTTACAACATGGATGGACCTTGAGGATATGTAAGTTGAAGTTGGAGAGACAATGAAATGTTCATGTGTACTAACTACATGGAGTAGGTGTCTAATACTTCAGAAATTAAAAAATGTAGATCACACAAGGGTAGATAAAGTGTGATCTCATTGTTGTAAATAGTATGTGTATCTTGAAAAGACTGCTGAAATGTACAAAAAATGTTTCAGAAGACCTTGCAAAATCCAAAACTGCATTATTTTCTATTAACTTCCCCTTAGGAATAAAGGAAAAGTATAGACAATGTTTTTGGAAAAAACGTTGCATATTTTAATTTAAATATTGCTTTTAATTTTTTTGACTTTCCACTAAGGTTTCACAGAGCACTTGCTTCTCCGTCAGCTACCCAGCATGTCCTTCCAAGTCTGCTGTGATATCCACTTCTGTCCCAACAAGTACTGATGTAAACATTAAGTACATGTTTGGATGGCGCTGCTGTAGGATGTAAAGAGATTTTAACTGTAATGATAGTAACTGTTTAAAGTGGAGTAAATATCTCAAAGCACATAAATAACAGTATGGCTTGTTCACAGATGCTGACAAAACTTTTCTATTTTTGTTTACTATGCAATGTCATTGCATATGACATTGTTATGGAACATAGTTAATATTTCATGTGTGACCTCATCCATGAACTTTTGTACTCTGTTATATTAAAATACATTGGTCTTTCTTGTACTCTGAATGAATCATTTATCTTGGCATGATTTTGTAGGATCATGCATTGGTCATTTGAAAAATACTGGTTGAGTCACGAACATATTTTAAATGCTGAGACATTTTATTACATATTATCAAATGACCGCAATAATATCACCATTGATCTCATCAGAAAAGCTTTAGATATTGGGAAGTAGATTTTGCCAAAATTCTACTTTTCACTTGTAAGTTCCTTTTATCATTGGGCAACAAATATGCTCAGTTGTTTTACTTGAAGTGACAGCTCGCTTCATTCATTTTTGAGAAAATGTCTGCCCAACACTCATCCTTCATTTGACTGTCCGCCATTTGAGTAAAGGCAGTGTTCCATGATAAAAGCAGTTAATTCAGCTCACGACTCCAACAGCGGCACATGTGATTTTCCTGGAGTCATCCTTCGTGCTTCTGTATGTGGCAGAAGTACTTTGGGCGTACTTTTCATTTCATCAGACAAAATATTAAAGAGACATGCACTTAAAAATTGAGACAATACTATTAATAATTCTTACTGCTCCATTAAGATCATTCCTAAGCGAAACAAACATTTCTCTTCTGCAATTGCGTGAAAGCATAGAACGCAATGACTGCTGGGTCAGATCGGTGCCACTGTCTGCAATTCTGCAGTGGCGCCAGCAGGTTCCCCCACCAGCTGCTCCGGTACCATTAATGCAAACGTCAACTCAATGAAATAGGAAAATACTGTTGGGGTATTATTATTTTTTTAATATTTTATTTATTTTTAGAGAGAGGGGAAGGGAGAGAGAGAGGGAGAGAAACATCAATGTGTGGTTGCCTCTCGCACACCCCCTACTGGGGACCTGGCCAGCAGCTCAGGCATGTGCCCAGACTGGGAATTGAACTGGCGACCCTTTGGTTCACAGGCCAGGGCTCAATTCACTGGCTCAAGCCAGGGCTAGGTATTATTATTATTATTATTATTATTATTATTATTATTAATTAAAAGTATTGACCTTTTGGATCCCCTGCAAGTGTCTTGGAAAAGCCAGAGGTCTTCAGATCACACCTAAAGCACAATCATAAACATTACACATTTCTTCAAATTTTTAAAACTCAAGATCCAATTGAGTTCACATCCTGTGATTGATGTCTTTGAATACATAGGATCCCCCTCCATTTCTTCTTTTTTTTTCTTTGCCATTTATATGTGGAAAAACTGGATGGGTTGAAAAACTGAAGAATTTCCAAACAGTATGGATTTTCCTGGTAATCTTACATTTTAATTATTAACTTTTCTGTTTCTTCATCTGGACTCTAAACTTGAGAAGGTCAATATTTAAGAAGTTTGGCCAAATGTTAGTGGTGGTTCCCCACTCCTTGCCAGATCCTAAAATGAGTGGTTGGCTCAGGTTTCTCCCCCAGCCCTCTTTATTTCATACTCTTTTTAAATTTTTAAATTTTTATTTATTGATTTTAGAGAGACAAAAGAATGGGGAGAAAGAAAGAGAGAGAGAGAGAGAGGGAAATACCAATTTGTTGTTCTAC